CACTGTCAGTCTACAAAGTTATTGTAAATACATGGTTTTTATAGACATGCTGATACTATAAAATCTTTTAAAAGACTCCTTTGACAGATATGTGTAAAAAACTAGCTAACTGATTAGAAATTTTGTAAGATAGTACGCACTTCAGATAACTGTTTCATTTAAATAAACTTTCTAAACCTTTCAGTATTTATATTCTTCAGCTGTCAAAGGCAGTGAATGTAAGGAAAATGGACAATTTCTCTCATTTCTCTCATGCAAAATTTCTTACTCGATTTCTGACACAGATGATAGTTATTCATGTAAACATTTTTCTCATATTTTCAATTTTCCTAAAAATAGAAAATTGTAATAAAAGCCATATAGAAAGAACTTAATATAAAACTAAGTGTTTGGTGTAATCACAGCATGCTCTAACATGACACCATGATACCTCAATAGGATTACAGCAGAACACAGACTAAGCATGGTTTTTGTGCCTGGTATAAGCAAGATTTTAAAATTCTGAGTGGTAGGTTGTGAAACCTGAATACTCCCACAAAAAATGGTCTTTCCTTATTTCAGGACAGAAAACTAGTTCAGAAGTGGTCTGAGATGCAGCAGAATGTAAAATGTGCAGTAACTTGTCCCATTAGAGAAGGGATACTATCCATTTTTAAGTGCTAGATGTTTTGCACAGTAGAATTACAGAGCCAAGTGATACTACTACAGCACAACACTACTGACATTTAACTTCACTGGGAGTGTGGCTTCAAGGGACCTTGTTTTCAGCTGAGCTCAACTTGTCTTTGACTTCTTTGAAATTCCCTGTTTTAATTTGATTTTCATAAGTAATATTCATCTGGTAAAACCAATTTTTTTTTCTGATAATGGTGTGATTACATATATAAACAGGAAGCATTTGGATACTGCTGCAACAGCTGAATTGACTGAGCTTTCCAAAGTTTGTACAAATACAAGATGCTGTGTATTGCAATTCGAATTGATGTTTGCATGGATGCAATCTAACAAAAGACTTGGATCCAAAGAGGAGATTCAGACCTCAAACATTGAAAGCCAAAGTGCAAGGTTCTGAAACTTAGAAATACCTCCTTATCTTGTAGAGTTACATAGGAAAATTTTAAATTTTAAGATCAGTTTCATTAAGTCTTAAATTATATTGGCTATCTTAGAGCAAAATACAAAATGATGTAACATTAGGTCAACAGGAAATAGAGGTAAATGAAAGGCAGCGGTGAGAAACAGCGGATTAGTGTGTTCCCAAAGGATAATAAACAATTCACCTCTTTCCTTTCCAGTATGGAAAAAAAGGAAGAATAAAGACTGGAAATACTTCCCTTACACCACATACATATGCTATAAATATCTCAATATATGTACACGCAAAGCCAAATTTTACTAAAGGTCACATGAGATTTATATCAGCATCAATCAGAAGAAGCATTTGTATGGTAAATAAATTGTCTGTCATTAGACAGGTACAACTGGCTTAGTGATCTCTCACTGTCGATGGCCTTTATCTTTCTTGCTAGTAATCAAGCTGCAAGTATCTGTGCAAAGTGGGAAACACTCTCTGTCTCTAGTTAGCAATAACATCTAACAGCCTTGTTCCAACGCTGAGGATGCTTTTTCTGGTCCCTAGAGTTACCTCTGGATTAGATTGCTGTCTACCCAAGTGCTTTGGTTCTTGATACTACTTCATTTTCTAAAGACTGACCTTCATGGGTCAAGCATGTTTAATTGCATGTTCCTATGGAACCTTAAAGCATGAAAATACTGTTAAAATCTGCAATCAGCAACTTCCATTGTCAGGTGAAATACTGAAAGGTTTATATAGAATAATTTCCACTCTAAGCTTTACAGAAAGTGGAAACAAATACTTTCTGAGACTTTTTTCCCCATATAAGATGTCTATTCACAAGAGACCATAACGATCTTTAATGTGTGCACAATATCTAGAGCATTTCATCTAGAAAGTATTAAACCCACCACAATATGAACATTTTTGGGCAACCTTGAATCTTTTATGTTTGTTGGTTTAAAATACTTGTTTTGTCAACCCTGAAAAACATACATGGTTTTCCTACAGGAACAAAAAGCTGTTAGGGTACAAACTGAGTAACAACAAAAATAAAGTAAAAAACAGAACAAGTAATTTAATTTTTTTAAATGTATAGTTGCAATGTATTAGGAAACATTCCTTCTTTTTTGTTATCTTCTTGCTGCCTACCAAGGTAAGGCCTTGGGCCTGCAAATATTTATGCATTTCAGCAGCTGTAATTGCGTAAAGAGCATCACTGATTTCTCCAGCTGTTCAGATTCACATGTATCCACTGACGGGGGAGTTTGCCACCCCAATTCCAAGAAGGGCTGTACCCATGGTTAGCAAAGTGCCACTTTGCAACAGACCATGTGCAAACCCTTGTGTTCATAAAGTGATACCTCTACTGAAATTAATCCCAAATACTTTACAAGTTGCTGAGTGTGCAACACACTACAGATTTTCCTTTGGACAGTGAGATCCAGCCTCCATGCAGCTGCTGATGCCACGGGCTGCAGGGGCAGTTACCCAGGCTCCCTTGTTGGTGACAGACCGAGTTGCTCCGAAGCTGGTCAGATGGCATTAGGCACTGCAGTGCCCAGCACCTAACTATGCTGTCAGAGGGTGCGGTTAAGTAAGCAAGATGCGGCACAACCAGAAAAATCAGGACTGCATCTGATCTCAGAGCTGTGGCATGTCAGCCGCAGTGAGCCCACGGCTGAGCTGCCCCTCGCTTGCACAGCAGCACTCGCTTGCCTACGTCTCGCTGCACTTTAAGCACCGGGCTGCACACACGTCC